GGGGGATGGAAGCCAGTGGTGGGATTGGCAGAGGGGGGGGGGGGATGGAAACCTGTGCAGGGATTGTTGCCATCAAGTTTCGTTTAGATTGGACTGTACTCCCAACACTAACAGTGTTACGTCCCATAGAATGATTTAACTGTGGGTCCCTGACCTCCATCTTGACCTATGTTGTGGCCGGGGGGTCTTCTCCATTCTCAACATTACCACGTTGCTTCAGATGAGATCAGGATTGAAGACCCTTGTAGGCTGCCATCAGCTTCAGGATATTTGGGACAACATGCACTGGGAGGACCTTAAGCCTCCTGAAGACCGGGAGCTCCCCAGTCCCCATGTGCTGGCATTGGCGGTGAATAATATCCATCAGTTGGGAACCCGAGCATGGCAGGTAAGGAGATCTTCTTCCCTCATCTACCAGAAGATCTTCCTCATTGCGGGAGTCAATGGGATCTTTTGACGAAGGTTTTCTGAACGCCGCTGAGATGGGAAACGCTTCTGGAAAGGACGCATCCTTCACCGCCCCCCCCCATCCGAGTATTGGACTTGTTGCTGCTCTACTGCCTATTAAGTGCAGGCAATGCGAGGCTGTGTGGGAGGAGTTTAGGGTTCAAAATATTCTGGAGGTGGGAATTTTCTGGAGGAGAAGAGAAATTGTGTTTTCAGGCTGTTCAGACCTCCCCCTAGGAGCGCCAGGATTTGTTTGGGAGCGAGGTGACTGAGATATGTATCAGCCAGATGGACTCTGCGAACGTCTGTATGACTTGTTCTCGGTGAGCTCGGAGAAGATGTTTTTCCTGAACCAGAAGGAAGATGTCCGAGTCATCAAAAAGCTGCCCGGCGTTATTATCCCTCAAGAAGGCCACTGTGAGAAGAATTTTGGTAAAGCTTCTTAAAGGAGAAGTACGAGGTCAGGGCTTTTCCCCATAGTTTTCCTTAGGGTAACGGGAGGACACAAACTAGCGTCCTCCCGTCACCCTAAGCTCAGTATATAGGGAGCTACAGCTCGCGGTATACTGAGACGCCGGAGCGGATCCCCACAATTGTGCCGGGATCCGCCCAGCTGCGTGAGTGACAGCTGGCTCCGCAGGCCGTTTTTAAACGTCCCGTCCCGCCGCTAGGTGGCGCGCACGACCGGGAATTGTAAACAGCCGGCGATCCCGAGCTCCGCTGTGCACGCTGTGAGCCCGGGACCAGCACAGCAGCTCTGTGACCGGAGCTCAGTACACGATCTCCCTCTGATCTCCTCCTCGGAAGGCAGGAAGTGACGTGTATTACATCACTTCCTGTATTCAGTGTCACTCTCTGGTACAGAAGCCGGAGAGAGGCTGGGGAAGCGGATCTCTGGCTTCATCAGCTTCTCTGGTGGTCCCTAGGTGACATTAGGCGTCTTAAAGACCCCCTGATGTCTCCATAAAGAGGACCTGTCACTGCAAAGTGGCTATCACATAAGGGTTATCCTCCTATGTGATGGGAATAAATTTAAGTGAAAAAAAGTTTTAAAAAAAATTAGTTACAAAAAAAATAAAATGTAAAAGTCATATAAAAGTAATTTAAATTTTTTTTAAGGCCCCCCCCCCCGCATACACATGCAAACATGCGTCAGGTGCGCCTGCGTGTGAAAACGTACCGCAGCGCTGAATACTGAACAATGGGCGCCAAAGGAAGGGGGTGTAACACCGCGGTCACGTAGTGATGTCATCAGACTGAAAGGCGGATGAGTTGAGAACGACTTTGATCGATCACAAAGTGAAGGTCTCTGCGATATTCTGGATCCGTTAGAATGTGGATTGGATGGATTGATGGATGGATGGAGGGATTGATTGATGGATGGAGGGATTGATGGAGGGATTGATTGATGGATGGAGGGAGGGATTGATGGAGGGATTGATTGATGGATGGAGGGATTGATGGATGGATGGAGGGATTGAAGGAGGGATGGATGGATGGAGGGATGGATGGAGGGAGGGATTGATGGAGGGATTGATTGATGGATGGAGGGATTGATGGAGGGATTGATTGATGGATGGAGGGAGGGATGGATGGAGGGATGAAGTGAGGGATGGAGGGATTGATTGATGGATGGAGGGATTGATGGAGGGAGGGATGGATGGAGGGATGGATGGATGGATGGAGGGATTGATGGAGGGATGGATGGAGGGATGAAGTGAGGGATGGAGGGATGGATGGAGGGATTGATGGAGGGATGGATGGAGGGATGAAGTGAGGGATGGAGGGATTGATGGAGGGATGGATGAATTGGGTCGGAAAGACTGAGTTTTGGAATGTTCTTCTCTGAATAAACTTGCAGAGATATTTCACGTCTATGACAAGTCCTCAGTCCTGGTGTCCGGAGTCTGTGACGGGGAGGAGGACATTCCCAGGAAGAGTTGTCTTTGTGGTTCTTCTATTATAGCCTTCTGATCAACTAAGGTATTCACTCCTCTGGGGGGGTGTAAGGAGCAGCTGGAGAGGTTACTGGAGATGCCATTTGTGGCTTTTGGAAACAGTTGTTGGGATCCCGGAATCCTGAATATTGTCCCCTCAGAATTGTCAACATTCCGATATTCCGGCTCCTACTGGACAGACCTGGATGGTCAGGGGCCAAGAGTCTGAGAAGCCCGGCCAGTTGAGGTTGTGGCCCTTGAAGGAGTCCTCCACATTCTCCTGTATTCCTGGCCAGGCCTTTAATTGTTCCTCTCCCAATGGCCGCTTCCAATTTATCCCCAAATAAGGATCAGCCCGGCAGTATTGTGATCGCTCCTGATCACTGATCAATACATTCTGCCGATCCTCCCCGTGTGCCGCCCATTGATCTGTTATTATGTAGTCGTATATCGGGAGCTGCCAGTCAATGATCTGTCTGTATACACAGTCATAGCCAAAAATATTGCCCCCCTCCCCCC